AATACAAATTTTTAAAAAGATTACTTTTTGCTAAGCCTTTAAATTCTTTAGAAATTAAAATTTTTTGTAGTTAAAAGATAGTTAAATAAACCGTATAAATGAATAAACACATGTTTTCGAAAAATCAAAATGGTGGATCCAATATGGCCGAACTATTGAACAAAAATTTAATTTTTTAAAAAATTTTCTTTATTTGAATAAAATTCCCTTTCCTAAAATTCCAAATAAAAAATGTCTTAAAAAACCATGATTTAATTTCTTAATTTCAAAGACTATTTTAACCCCCCCCCTCTCCAACACCCATTTTTTTGAATAGGGAATCATTTTCGTACAATGTAACACGCTTTTCCGCTTTTTGGGATGGTGAAAAAGAGAAATACACGACGAATGAAAAGAGATGAAAAGAAAATAGAAAACCAGAGAATCGAGCGATAGCTCGCTTTGGAGGTGAAATAGAGGAAATATAGGTTAGATTACGTGAAGACGCATGGCCTGAGGCCAAAGACGAGCCAACCCTGTTTTAGTCGAATCCAGAGAGAGAGAGAGAAAGAGAGAAATGCTTTGTGAGCTAGTTAAATATATATAGTGAAATGCTGTGCGAATAAAGATTTCTCTTATATAAATACTCGCTAATAAATTACGTAATTTGTGATTAACTTATAAACTAAGGAGAGAAGAGAAGAGAGTTTATTCCAAATTTTGATTTTGAATTCTGAGATCTACGTTACCGACTGTTGAAAAGTAAGATTTACCGTTAAGGTTGGTCCACAATAAAAATTTTCGATGAAAGTCGATCTTTAAACCTAACCTCGAATTATCAAACAAATTTAAACAAATTTAAACAAATCTAAACAAATCTATCTAAACAAATTAGTAAAAAAAAGGCCAAATTCTAAATTAACGAAAAATTCATCTAAAACACCTCGTTAAATGCATGTGTGAAAAAACAAAACAAATTGTCCTAAAAGAGCTTAAACATTATACCCAATGGGAAATGCCAGTGTAGTGCCGATGTTCACCACTGGCTTAGTACTCAGACGATTGTTCGGCGTAGTCTAGCCGAGCCTCGACAACTAGTGCTGGCGCAGTACAGAATTTTTGTTTCGCCAAAGCTTGGACAAGCCACGGCGGCAAGTGCTGGCTGAGTATAGAAAAATTGTTCACAACGCTCTTTGCCAACACTGCTTTTTTGACATAAACTTGAAAAAAATTATTAAAAAAGTTTATAAATGTTTATAAATATAAATTTATTGAAAAAAATTAATATTTTACTTTTCAGTTGTTCATTTTTATTCTTATTAAATTTAATAATAACAATTTAACACAATTGTCTAATTTTGTAAATAATAAATTATTTAAACAAATTAAAATTATAAACAAAATTTAAACTTTAATCTCAATAATAATTTGGTTCCTATTAAAATACTATTATACTTCTTACTATGAATAACAAATTATTAAAAAATTACCACGTAATTTAAGAATTACGTAAAATGTTGAATGCAATAAGTAAAGTAATTTAAATTAATTATTAAAAATGTAGTTTAATTTATTTTATTTCAATTTATTATTTCTAACGTATCCCTATTTTTTTCTCATCTTTGACTCAATAATTGTATGTCTGAATGATACTGAGATATTAATACTTTACTGTACACATGTGTCGTTAGCATAGTGGTTAGAGCGTTAGTCTGTTAGTCCGTAGGTCGTAGGTTCGATTCCCCTCGTCAGCAATTTTGTTTATTTTCATAGGTTTGCGATATTTCTAGATTCCAATCGTTAGGTTCTAACGTATGAAAATCTAATGCACACTTACTGTAATTGTTTATTATTTAATTTTTAAATGTTATAAACAATTTTTTTCTACTTCATTTACTATATCCATTGTTAGTCTCCATCTTTAATACAATTTCTTTAAGAAGAGAAATATTTTATGAATAATAACTATTTATTAATATTATTTACCATTTTGTTGTTAAATTATTTATAATTATGAATTTACGACTAATTAATAACAATACGGCATTTATTGCGGCAATATTCTCAGCCAGCACTGGTCCAGTGCTGCGCCAGCGCTGTCTGGCAGCACTGACAGACAGTACTTCGGCAGCGCCAGACGGCGTTATCATCCCAGTGCCATGCCAGTGCTGGCTCTCAGCCTTGCCGCCAGTGCTGCCAGTGCTGGCGCAGTACTACGCCAGTTGTAAATTTCCCATTGGGTATCTCCACTTATAAAAAGGCACTCCACCCAAAAGTGTCGAAAACAAGAGTGGAGAGAAAAAAAAAGTGCGATACTTATCCGGTAGAAAAAGAAAAAAAAAAACTAAAAAGCTTTTTAATCGTACCGGAAATCCGAGCTTGTCAAAATACCATCATATTTTTGAAAATACATATAAAATAGAGAAAAAACTATTTTATTTTCCCGCTGAGACAAAATTAACAAAAGAATTATTTTATTGTTATAAAAAACGATTTTGAATTGATAATATTGTAGGTACCATGGTTTTGTTAAGAGGAGAGGGCGGAGAGAATTCAGAAGACATTTCCATTACCATATTTCACGATTGCTTTTCATCAAGGAATGATTAAACTCGGTAGATGTTTTTTTTTTATCTGAAACACGTCACTGCACTGAATATTCAGTGAACATTTGTTGGATAGGTATAAGCAACTAAACAGAGAGAGGATATTTTTGTCTTGTATTGTAGGTCCGGTGCGAGTGAATAAAAAAAAAAAAAAGAAAAATTCCCCACCTTTTCTAAAAGGATGCGACGACCTGTAAATAAAATGGCGTGAGATGTAAATAAATACTATGTCATTTTATGTGTGTGTACAATATACGATTATTATATATATACGTAGTTATACGTATTTATACCCACATTACGTATATATACGTAGTTATACCCCTATTACAAATATATATACGTATTTATGCCTATTTTACGTATTTATACCCATATTACATATATTTACGTATTTATACTCATATTACGTATATTTACATATATTTATACGCATGTTACGTATTTATAAGTATATTACGTGTATTTATATACAGGAAGAAGAGGAATGCTCATGTTATGTATATATAGAAAGAAGAGAGAGAAAAAAAAGTAGGATGTAAAAGGAAAGAAGAAAAATAGAAGAGGTAAAAGGAAAGAGTTAGGAAATAGGGGTTACAGGGGATAAATGAGGGGGGGTACAGGGTGAAAGAGGAGGAAAAGGAGGGATTTTAGAGTCGAGAAGCGACAAGAGTATAGAGACGGGTACATGGCTCTGATTAGCATACAAACTACGCGAAGCCATGTTGCGTTGACTCAACGACATGCTACGGCGTAACAACGGCAACAACAAGCAACGCAAACGTATAGCACTCATATAGCAGCATATAGAGAGGCACTTTCGAGCCGACTTTTGCCCACCCACTATGGTGCGAATCGAGACAGTGGGACTAACACTTGAATTATCGCCTCGTTTAGCAATGGCGTACATTATGATAAATATACGATCCAATATTAGCAGGTGAATATATTGTCACCAAAAATTTGCCACTGGAATTCTCATCTTTACATTGTTGATTTTATAATCATTGAATTTTGATTTACCTCAACTTGAATTAATTTTGTATTTTCTTTCAAATAATTATTGTCTCTATGGACGATCATAAAAAACCGCCGAAGTAGAGATAAATATAATTTTTGTAGAATTTTCTATTTCTCCAAATGCTTATAGTCCAAGGATTCTAATGGTCATCAAAAACCACAAAAATCGACGTAATGAGCAATTTGTACGATTTTCATCTCTTTTCCTAAATATTAATAGTCCCTAGGACCTTAACGATCAGCACAAGCCGCCAAAGTAGAGATAAACCTAAATTTTGTCGATATTTCTACTTCCCCTCGTACTTATATAGTTTCCAGGTCCTAAAGATCATCAAAAACCGTCAAAATCGACGTAATGGTCAATTTTCACAATTTTTGGGATTTTTCCCAAATACTTAATGATTTTAGGACCTAAACGATCAGTATAAACCGCCAAAGTAGAAATAAACATAATTTTGACGACACTGGAATTTTTCTAATGCTCATAGTCCAATAAACCTAACTATCATCAAAAACAGTCAAAATCGACGTAACAGACAATTTTTACGATTTTTGGATTTTTTCTTAAATATTTATTGATTATAGGACCTAAACGATCAGCAGAAACCGCCAAAGTAGAAAAAAAACTAAATTTTGACGATTTTTCTATTTCCCTCAAATAATTAATAGTCAAAAGGTACTTAACGATCATCAAAACAGACGAAAATCGAGGTAATGCTGAATTTTGCAAATATTTGATATTTTTATTTCCTTTGCTCATAATGCAAGTTCGAGAAACTTAAGAATCGTCAAAAATCCAGTTCATCCCGTAAATTTTGTAAATTACTATTTTTTCTCCCCCAATTCCAATGCATCAATTCCCGCAAAGCATTGCTGATGGCAGATTCCTGATAAAACCTCGTTGTGGCAGTACTAAAACCACACACTGCCACTAATTTACTAGCCACTTGATAGGACCCACAGTGTCTGTAAATCGCCTCCTTTTATAAAAAAAAAAACAACTTCACTGACGTGTCCAGAACTCTTGACCTTCTTGAGAATAATTCAAAATGACAAAATGCCATCTCCCTTTCACGGCTGATATATAAAACATAAGTTTTACTACCTTCCCCCCCACCTCCATTTGGATCCTTAGGTTATTTAAGACTTAAGTTATTCTCGACCTGCGTTTATGGCTTTCCGATCTTCCATCCAGTATTTTTTTTACGATCAAAAAAATCTCGAGACCACAGCAGATGTGCGCGCAGGCAAAATTTGTGCTGATGATGGTCGAAAAAAAAGTGTCTGTGCGGTTATAATATATGGACAGCTATATTTTTTTAGGTAGCATATTTAATGGATGATTTAGCATCATTCTGAAAATGAGGGGGGGGGAAACATGATTTGGATACTTACTTCCAGAAGACGACGGATACAACGGCAGCCATTAGGAGCAGTACGACCGTACAGGTGATAATTAGGGCAGTACTTTGTAACGATGGATTCGAATGATAGGACGCGTCGATCATCTGTAACAATATAAAAAATTTGAAATTAAAAATACAAACATGAAAAATTCAAACATGAAAAATACAAACATGAAAAAGGCAAACATGAAAAGGTCAAACGTACGAAACGGTCAAAAATATAAAAAAGGAAAAATTCTTTAAAAATAGGACTTCTAATGGTTATAGAAGATTTTGGAGTCGAAGACTTTTATCCAAATTCAACATTCTTTTCCGTTATTTAACGAATAATACGCAGCTTATTCTAAAAAGATGAAAATATCATTTCATTGCTCCTTGCGATAAACAGAAGCATAAACATAAAAGTTTCCCCTTATGACATAGCCGTCTGTTTCGTTGATACTGTAACTTTAATAGCGCGCAGAAGAGTGGAGTAAAAACATGAACGAGCTTTATTTATTTCTGCCCAAGAAGAAGCAGAAGAAGAAGAAGAAGTTCCAGTAACAGATCTTTTCATTCTCATACACATCCTTCTCGTGTTGTAAAAAAAAGACTTTTACAACATAAAAGCGGAACTTGTTACAAAACTCCATCTTCCTCTTTTGTAAAACTCAATTCATTTTGTTTCCTTTGGAGAAAAATAATTTTCCACTTTTATAGAGAGAGAGAGAGAGAGAGAGAGAGAGAGAAAAACTTCAACTAAAACATATCATGACTTTTCCATTTTCAAAAATTCTTTACTAATAAATTTCTTTTCTTTCTTTTTTCATCAATTTTTTATCACGTTTATTCCTTTTCGGTCACAATTTTTTCCTTTTGCTCATAACTTTTTCTTTTTGACAAATTTTTTTTGTAATTGTTTCCAAAAATTCGTGAAAAGAAAAAATTTGGTTGAATATTCTGATTTCTCTATTCTCCCTCTCCTTCACCCTTTCCCCCTTCCATTTTGCTCGACTGAATCCATTAGCCGGCGCCATTAATATCGCGGTAATGATGAGCGATGAGGCTCCGAGGAAAAGAGAGAGAGAGAGAGAGGGGGGGAGAGAGAAATAGGGGTTTGTGAGAGAGAAAGAGGGAGATACCACTACCACCACACCTAGTCTCGCGGCAGGTCTTTGATAAATGCTGCTTTCCTTGGCCTTATGCCAAACAACACGTTGCACAATATCTATAGTTTCTATCTGCATCGTCTTCGTCGTCGTCGTCGTGCCCTTTTCCTGGGGTGGGTTATCGATACTAAACCAATCTTCAATCCCTCCATTGACCCCTACCCTATTCTCGTTGATCCCTTTTCATTCCTCTTATGAAATTTATAAATACACGGAAATCCTATAAACTTTCTGATGCTGTAGAAACTTTTTTTTTTCCTTTTTCCCCGATTCGACTTCTTATGTTTATCGAAAAGGAACACTTTTTCTATGCTTATCAGGTAAAAAAGGAAATAGTGCTAAATAGGTTAAATTAGGCTGAAACTGGACATAACCTGCTTTCTTCATCAACTGTGGGCTAATTACTAAAATTAATTAATTAATTAATGCTAATTTACTAAAATGTACTTTTCTTCACTCTTTTACTATTTCTTCACTGTTAAAATGAATATAATCTTGAAGTTTCATCTGTTCGTCAAAAAAGAAAATAAATAAACGAAAAAACTAACTTTCCCCGGAGTGTATATATAGAACTACTGTTAAAATTATCTCGATTCAACCTAACCTGCATTTTTCATCAACTTTGGCCGAATATTGTACTTTTCTTCACTTTTATTCAATTTCTTCACGACTAAAGTATAAACATAACCTTAAAATTTCGTCGGAGTATATAACTACAGTCAAAATTATCTCGATTCAACCTAACCTGCTTTTTTCATCAACTTTATCCGAATATTGAAAAATGTACTTTTCTTCACTCTTTTTCTATTTCTTCACTGCTAAAATGAACATAACCTTAAAATTTCGTCTATTCTTTAAAATTGAAAATAAATAAACGAAAAAGAAATAACTATCCCCACGCTAAATAGGGAACTACAGTCAAAATTATCTCGAATCTAATCAATTTTACCGCCCACTATCTAGTTATGCCTTCTGTATTATCCCGAAACGTGTATAACCTCTCTCTATACAATACACAAAGTATCTATCTCTCTATCTATCTCTATCTATATATATATATAAATTGGCGAGATTCGTTACGAGGAAGCACGCGAGTAACGCATGCAAATGCCCTCGGACAAATGCGTAATTAGCTTAACCCAGGGGTCCGAGGAGACAAGGGGTGGGGGCGAGAGGGGGGGTTTCAATACCAGTAGAATAGAGGTAGAGGAATCGTTAAATCATCGGGACGATTTTCGATTCAGGTAACGGAGCTTGTATTGTGTTCGGCGAGAGTATATGCTAATGAATTGATCGAATAAAATAATGTTTTACTACCATCAACGGCAGGAAAGCAAAAAAGAAATTATCCATTTATATACTCTCCCACTTTCAATATAAATTATCATTTTTATTTTAATTTATCTGCACTTTAGTGGTTATAACCAGAATTCCGGTTAATATGTGTACATGCCAGAGAAAAAAAAGACAGTAAAAATTGATTAAAATCGGTAAAATGTCGGTAAAACAGATTTTACCGACTGTTGGTAAATTAAAGTCACTTTCACAATATTAAAACTCAGTTTTTTTATTAGATTTTCGTTTTATAAATGTTTTTTAAATTCTTCTTTTTACTTTAAAAATAAATTATACTTTTAAATTACTGAACAAAGAGTAATTTTCGGTGAAATGTAATTTTTACGATGAGTAGTAAAGAACTTTTTTTTATTGCTTAGGCCTGATAGTAAAAAAATTGTGTTTGGTCTGTACTTATTGCATTTTAACTCAACATGTTTCCATTGAGGAGCAATATACCCTGAAAAATAAAATTCTCGCCACGTGTGTTGTCAATTCGAAACAGTTTTAATCCCCATTTTTTTTCCCCCCTTTGTCTAAGGCAGTATATAGTGGATACAAAGGGAAAAATAAGATTTATTAAAAATAAATGTCATTTCCGGATTTTGTTTTCGGGAGAAAAGGGGAAAAAGAAATAAATTTCTATTTTCGTAAGGGAAAAGTATCACTTTTATTTCCCTTTTAGTTTTTCTAACTTTTGTATCGATTTTTCTATTTTTTCTTTTCTTCTCTTTTCTTTCTCTCGTACACTTTTCATTTGCCGCTTTCTTGAATTTTGCAGATTAAAGAGAACTTCCCCGTCTCTTGACCTAACAACTCTCCTTTTGCTGTGGTTTTCGTCCCCCTCCTTAAGAGGAGAAAGAGCGCGAGAAATTAAAATCTCTTCCTTCATTCCTTTTTTGCCTGTTAAAGAGCAAAGAAATAATTTTTCTTCTCAAATTAAAAAGAAAAAAAGAAGAAAACAAAAAGAGAAAAAAAGAAAACAAAAAGAGGAAAAAGAAAACAAAAAGAGAAAAAAGAAAACAAAAAGAGAAAAAAAAACAAACTCGAAATATGAAAAAGAAAAATTGTAAATACACGTCACTAATAATAGCGAATGCAGGAGAAATCTCATATCGTTAAATTTGTGAAAAGGGATTTTGTGGTTTCGCTCTAATCTCACGTGGAACATTGTTATACTGACTTCAAGGTTCATTACACGCAACGCGTAATTCTCTTTTGCTAGAAAGAGACTGTGAGAGAGAGAGAGAGAGAGAGGAGAGAGTTGCAGTCACAGTTGGAGAGATTCATTTGAGCTTTGCCTCTCGAAAATGTTACCCAGATAACAATATCTCTAGTGTTGAGAGTTTCATTTCCATGTTGATATAATAAAACACTTCAAAGAATCATTAAAAATTTAACTTTTTTTTCGCCCTCGTTCTATTGTATTTAATTAACACACGAAAGTATTAGTTATTTAACACTTTTAATTAAAATTGTTCGTCGAAAAGGAAGAGAGAAAAAAATTTGACAATAAAAAGTCCCTCAAAAAGACTTCACTTCCTGAAAATTGAGGGAATGGATTTTTTTTTGGAGAAATTCGCCTTTCGGGTGGAAAAGAATAATGAACCACACTCTCTCGAGAAAGGGATGAGGAGAATCTGTAAAAACTTTTTTTTTCCTCCCTCACGAAATATATCAACCGAACGATACTATTAAAATCTTCATCTTCACTCTTCATTTTTGATGACATTCATAGTTTTGTGCTATTTTTAACAAAATAAAGAAAGTCTGACCGAATTCGGAATTGCGCCAATAGAAGGAACTCCACGTGTTGGGAAACAAACATAATTTCCGAATATAGAAACCCAAATTGTCCAGTAAAGCATTAGAAGTAGTCGCTAAGTCCATTATCATTAGATCCGAAAAAAAAGTTGATAAAACTTTCACTTTCTACCCTCTTTCTGTTATAGACTCTCCCTTATTTTTTCCATCTTCCATTCTTGTGCTGATAGAAAAGGGATAAAATTTACCCTTATCGCGATATCCAATTTCAAATTATCCATAATAAATAAGCCATCGAGCGTAATGGCTAATACGTGTTGTGTAGCACAAAAGGGGAGGCGGAATAAAAAAAAAATGATATATTCTTGAGGGACAATCGATCCAAGACGTGTTGTCAATCTTTATTAGACTTGTGATAATTTATGGCACGTAGTTTTGTGGAAAGTAATATAAAAGTATCTTTATATTACTTTTAGAGTTAACATGAGGAGAGGATTAATTTTTTTTTTTCAGGGAGAAGAAGGTAGAATGTGCTGAATTCTTAATCACTTGGAAAACAGGTGCTTGAGGCGCTGGATTAATAATAATTCTACGACAAGTTTAGTACCACTTAATCACGGATGTTGGTAGTGAGCATTAGTTGAAGAAGACTTGGGTAAAAGCTTATCGACTTAGTTTCCACTTGTGGATGCGCTAGAATTCGATGGGTACAAGTTTGCTGATTTTGGGTTAAATCACGAAACCTACTTCTAAGTCCTTTAAGATACGTTACTTTGTGCATAGCAGAAAAGCCTCTTCAAGAAGGCGAAATTTTTGATTTAGTTTGCTTTCTTGGTTTTTAGCATCCCGACTGTT